TAATCTTATAATTCAATTTACATACACACTTAACACCTACTAAGAGTACACGTAATCTCGTGCACTAGCACATTTAGAATGGGGTCAGTTGACCCATTCTAAAAATGCTAAATCTATGACAACATGTCATAGATTTTTGGTCTGTCTGTCTATCAAATTTAGCATTTCCATAATAACGGGAATCACCCAATAAAAATTATTGGTAGTACGATCAATTTTTCATTAGAACAGCTTTATCTTTTAGTAGAATGTATCCAACTTTTCGGTGAACTAATAGAAAATTCCGATCGTATGAATCATTACCAGCAGTACGACCGTTTTCTTATTAGAATCTTATTAGAACAGCAAAATCTTACAGTAGTATGTATCTACTAACTGGCTCCTACCGTGATGACTCCGATCTCCACGGCCAAAACATTTTGTATCTTGCCTTTTTGCCCGTCATAGAACTGCAAATCAAGCCTCCCTTGCACGCTCGACGTTGTGCGGAGCCGAACGGGTATGTGCTTGCCTCGGCTTCCTTCCATTGTTGGCCATTTGAGTTTTGCTGTGAGCCTGTGTGCGAAGCACAACAACCTAATCGCAACGCACAATCCGCCTCGCCATGAAGGAGATAGAAGACAAGGCAATGCTTCCTGACGTCCGCGAACTACTCATAGAGAAATTTGTGGGCCGCGAGGAAGAGAACGAGGACCTAAAATTCGAGCTCAAGTTTCTCCTTCAACGCGAACGTCCAAGCGTTGTTGAAGATGTTTCAGTTACAACCAAATCACAACGCGCAACCAGCATCGCCATGGAGATACACGACGCGGCAACGCCTCGTGAAGTTCACAAACTACTCATCGAGCGTTTTGTGGGCCGCGAAGAAGAGAACAAGGCCCTCAAAAGCAAAATCAAGGAGCTCTATGACCGCTTCTTGCCACGTGAATTGTTGGAAAAATACGGATTTCTTCCGGTCGATCCTATGGTTGTTGAAGATGTTTCGATTTGTGCCAGAAACAAATCCTTCAACAGAAAGCTGAAGGAACGCGTCATACTCCGTTGCGTTCCATGTAATGCTCACAGAGACCTTAGTTTTGTTAATTATAACAGACGAGTGTCCATTAAAAGTAATAGAGCGAAGAATGAAAGTGGAACAAAAGAATACTTCTGCGGCGAATCTGCTTTTGTGGACACTCCAAGACTCTTGCCCGACAAGTGTACCATCAATCAGTTGCTACGTGAGGACACTGTTATTGAGGTATTCGACGACGAGACCAGCGATACACCCTGCCCTGCCAGCAACGTATCTGGGCTTTTGGATTGGCACTACGATCCTGAATTTGCCGCCAAAGTCTCTGCCAGTAATTCACCAGGAGGAGGGTGGACTTGTTCCATTATTCTCGAAAAGCATATTGACGATTTCGAAAAGTATATTGACTATTTTGATTGTAATGATAACTTTGGCAATTTAATGCTCGATGTTGAAATTAAATTCGAGGGTGGAATGAAATTAGGACCTTTAAGCGAGGGCTTCAGCTACGAGAACCCCTGTGATGTGGAATCATTGGATGATATTCGAAATGGCTTTGATGGCGAAGTAGTGGATATTTCGATTCAAACGTACTGGCTCCCATCGTACGGAGTAAAACCCGGTTACTATTGAAAAAACTCACGGTGAACGCAACAGAATGGTATCTATTTCAATCTATACATGACCTCGGACCAAATTCAGCAAGAGTGAAATATTATTCTATGGTTAATTTCTTTAATTCGCTTTCCTCATCCTGCCCTACGGTCGTGCGTTCCATGTGCCATCATTCGTCTTCGCTAGTAGATTCGGCTGCACCATCCTTTGGGTCGGCCCCTGATTCCGTGGATCCATGCCAGAGCCGCTGCTTGTTGCGTTGCGTTGTTGCTAGCGGTGTTCTTGCTTGCTCGCTCGCTCGCTTTCGCTCTGGCCACGCCCGGCCCCGGAAGCTTGCGACCGGCACCCTTCGTCATCCGTCCACCGGCTTTTGCCCCGACGACACCACCGCCGGCATGCGCAGGGGCCTCCGCCCGTCCCCCACCAGTTCGTCGAAGCGTTTCTCCAGCAGCTTCCGCACCGCCGCCGCCTCGTCTTCCGTCTGGCCCCGGAGGAGCTCCCTCGTTCGGGCCGTCCCCTCCAGCATGGTATCGTAGAGCTCCCCCGCCGAGGAGAGGTTCGTCCACTCCATCCCTTCGACCACCGTGGTCTCCACGCCGACAAAGCCGGCACGCTCCAGCGACCGCAGGCACTCGTCGGGGTCCGAGAACCGGAAGAAGGGCGGGCCCTCCGGGAGCTCCACGCTCGGGTTCCCGGCGTCCCGGACGGCACCGAGGACCAGGCCAAAGGCCTCGGTGTGTGGGGGGGCGGCCCAGGCGGAAAAGGCCAGCCTCCCCCCCGGTTTCAGGACGCGATAGCTCTCCCTCAGAAAAGCGTCCGGGTCGGACAGGTGCAGGATGCCAAAGTTGCTGGCGACCGAGGTGAAGAGTCCCTCCTCCGGAAGTGGCGGTGGTGGCGCTGCTGCTGCTGCTTTTTCTTCCGTTCCTTCTTGGAGGCCCCGCCCGCCGCATCCCAAAACCCTCGCCATGTCCAAGGCATCGCCCTCGACAAAGGCAACGGGCGTTCCGGGGTGCTCCGATCCGAGGTTGTCCCTGGCCAGCTCCAGAAAGTTGGACGAGAAATCCAGTGCCGTGAAGGAGACCTCCGCAAGGTTGTTCCCCTTCCCGTTCTCCCCGGCCAGCATCTTGGCCTTGGAAATGGCGGCCGACAGCACCTGCCCCGGCCCGCAGGCCACGTCGAGCAGGCTTGCCTTCGCTGTCGCTGTTGCTTGCGCGTCCGTCGCCTCCCCCTCCAGAAAGCCGGCCTTTTTCAAAAGGGTCGGGACGGCCTGGGCGGTGAGCGGGCCGAATCCTTCCGCGTAGGCATCGACGCCCCGCTGCCAGTTCTTGTGCTCGAGCTCCGCAAAGGCATCGGGCGACGTCGTCGTCGACGACGACGACGAGGAATATCGCGACGCACCCAGGGAGGTTGCCGTTGCCGATGATGCAGATGCCACCGATGCTGCGGTGGCCCTCGATCCCGTGTCCGGCATCGCTCTTGCTGCTGCTCTTGCTCTTGGGAGCCGGAGGAACGGCGGGTGGTGGGTCCTCGTTCGGTTCGGTTTCACCAGAGCGAAAGAGAGCGCCTTCCAGCAGTCCACTCTCATTGCCTCCTTTGGATGAAGCCGACTTCCTTGGTTTGGTGCAGAGGGATGCTGTTGGTAGATGCTTTTGCTTGGTTCGATCGGAACCGCTTGGGACAAGATGTGTCGTTTCCTTGACACTTCGTACGTAATCGTACAAGGTTGTCAAAAAATGCGTGGCGCAATGGTAGCGCGTGGGACTTCTAATCCTGAGGTTGCCGGTTCGAGCCCGGCCGGGGGTGTGTTTTACCCATTTTGCGTTTTCTTTTTTGTTGGCGCGGTCGGCGTGGTAACTTTGATGTTTAACTACCTTACCTAATACCAATTCTATCCTCAGTTCTGTTGGGCCCTGGTTGCCCTGATGCCTGATACTATCCAACGCGAAAATCCTGTGGACTTGAGAGTGTGCCGCAGCATTACCCAGGACTACGAGTATCAATGAGGTGCCATAAAGGCGTGAATGAGAAAGAACAGTTTCAAGTACGTTGTTTTGGTGCATCCATGAAAACTACAAGTTATTTCCATACTACTACAAGCGCTACTTGTCGTACAGCAGAGAGGAGTAATATGATCTCCTACAAAGTACTCATGATTGAGAAGCAGCCAAGAAAAGAACTGCAAGAAATGAATGGATTTATGGATCCAACAACAATGAGTACCCCGGAACATGGTGACCAAATCGGATCGACCCATAGTAGTAGTATTCGTACTCACCACACGATGACAGCCCACCACAGGCAGGAGCAGTACCCCCGATGTAATCCGGAGAAGGCCGGTTTCAAAAACCGGAAACCCGCTTGCTCAACAACTACGAACCGTTTGTTGCGACTCGTTGCCCGGGTCCTGGTTCGTGGCTGCCTCTGTCTGTTCCCCCCCCCGCAGACGCGGCCCGCCCCAGCGCGGCATCGCACTGCTCGGTTCGATTCGGCGCGGCTCGTCACCGGTCGTCCAGGCCGCACAGCAGAAAGCCCGCGATCTGCTCGCAGCGCGACTCGCAGGCGTCGTAGAACTCCCCGTCCGCCTTGGTGGTCGACATTCCCCCGGTCGCCCCCACAAAGACCTCGCAGATGCCCACCGGGCGGAGGCCCCTCCGGATCGCCTCGGCCACCAGCTTGGGGGCGGCGCAGTCCCCGGTCCCCCCCGGCAGCCGGGTGCTCCCCCTCAAAAAGGCGGCGGTGATCGGCAAGGTGGTGTCCCCCCGGAGGTTCGTCAATAGCTGGTGGCGCCGGATCTCCTCCATGGCGCGGGCCGACAGGGCCGCCCGCTCGGCCTTCAGCTTCGCGAGGGTGGCGGTGCTCCCGTCCCCGGGCGACAGGGAGGCCTCCTCGATCTCCGCGAACTTTTCCGTCACGGCGGCGCTCAGCCTCCGAAACTCGGGGATTTCCTCGGGGACCCTTCCCACGAGGGGTGCCCATCCTCGGAGGTTCCACCGGCCCCCCATCTTGCCGGCGTAGGCCTTGAGGACGACGGTTTCGCTCCCGTCTCCGGTGTTGTCGCCGTCGGTCGAGGGTTTCTCACAGACGAGCACCCCGAACATTTTCCCCCGTCGCTCGTAGAGGCGCTCGGTGGCGAGCGAGGGATCCAGCCCAAGGTCCGATGCGGAAGGGATGCCGGTGAGATCCCCTGCCGTGTTGCTGCTGCTGCCGTTGCTGCCGCTCTCGCCCAGCGGCGGCGCCAGGAGCTTTGCTCGGAGGTCTCCCGGCAGCTCGTCGATGTCGATCCTCCCGCTCCGGACCATCCGGTCCCTCAGGTCGAGGGCCGCCCGCTTGGCGGCCTCCGTGGTCGGGAGCGTGTGGTGGGTGCCGCAGCGGGTACAGTACCCGCCAAAGGCCAGGGAGAGGGCCGGCGGGACCAGGGCGACGGCCAGGGCGAAAGCAGCGAGTGCCAAGGGAAGCCAGCAAAAGCGAGCACCGGTTCTTTCGCGCATGGCAGGGGTCTCTTTTTCGCGGAGGGTCGTGGCTGCGGCCTAGGCTTCGGCTTCGCGGAATACTATACGTAGTTCGATCGAAGGCCCGATTCGTTGCAACACACCGATGCAACGCCGTCGTTGGAAAGAAGGATTGTTCAAACTAATAGTCGATGCGTAGCAAAACTCTATTAACATCTAGTGTGTTGATTGCTCCTGTGCTGTAATGATGAGTACTCGTACTCGTACCGTAGGACAAGATACGAGTACGTATGTAGTCATGCGCAACGGAAACCCATCAATCAAAGCAAAACTTGAAGAGTACAGTACAGTAATGTGCGAGGATGGAGGACAGACATTTACAACGATATTTACAACGATACTGAAAAGCTGAATAACTATGATATTTTGGTAGCGCGCGAGCATCTAAAATGCTACTGTAACATTAAATTTTCTGCCTTGCTGAGAGGAGTCTGGAAGCTTGACTGAAGAAGAAGGGCTGAAGTGTGTTGCACAAGAATATATGATGTCCTTGAGTTTTTATTATAAGCCTGCTTGCAAATGTTATGCATTTGATGGGCAGCGCAATCAATAATGGTGAGTACCCTTGTCCTCCTCCAGCAGCATCCCAAGAGAGTTCGTGTTTGCAGCTGTGCCACCAGTTGCTACTGCTGCTACTTGACCTTTTCCAGCATCAATTTCTGAAAATCATCATCACTCAACTTTTTTCCTATTGATCCTTCTTTATGCAAAAACAAACTAATCTCAAATGAACATGATATAGTCCAAGTCTCATCTATGAAATGCATCTAGTATGAAATGAGCTCAAGTCTCATCTATGAAGAAATGAGCTGTGGCACCACCAGTGTAGTTATGGTTTGCTTTAGATGTCCAGTGATCAAGAGTAACCGAAATAGCCTGTGCCTTCAGTTCTTCAACTATTCTTCCACTATTTAATGGGAGATATCATTGATTGAACCTTCTTGTGGCTCATTGGCTTTGCATGATGGTTATGGGATTGAATTAGATCAAGAAAAGGTTTTGTTTCCACAGTACTGAATGGAAGAAAATTGCTACACAGAAACTTCACAATCATCAAATCTTGATTGTATTTCTGCATCTCCTTGGCAGTTGCCTTGGATTCTTTTTGTGTTGCAAATTGACTTAACAATGAAGTCTAGATGATGGTATTTTGAGTACACTGTTGAATCTTACTTTCCAGAAACATTACTACTTAACTTCATAAAACAGTACAGTGGTCTTTTAAAATAATGATAAGAAATACTCATTGCAAAGACTTGGTATTGACATATGGGTGAATCTCTTGTCAGAAGTAATACTAAGAATACTGGTATTTTGAGTGTATTGCTGGTGGTTCTGTCTCTCCAGATATATTAGTAGTACTTCTTTTTGGCACAGAATAATACAGGCCTGTGTATTAATGATAAAAGATAGGAATATATAGCTGTCACATCAAAGTACTCACTACAAAGAATTATTATTGGCGTCAAAGTGGTGGTTCTCTGGAAGAATCAATAGTACTAAAAGTAGCATTTTTACTCTCTTTGTGATACTGTCATTCCAGGAATATCAACAGTAGACTTCAAACATAGTACAGGTCTGTGAAATACTCATTACAAAGACTTATTGACCTCAAAGTGAGACTCTTGTCAGAATTACTAGTACTACTTATTCTGTTAGTACTGTAATTGTATTGCTGGATCTATCTCTCCAGATATATTCGTACTTGACTTCATAAAATAATACAGTCCTGTGAACTAATGATAAGAGATCCAAATTTAGAGCTGTCCCATCAAAGTATTCACTTTGACTACTTGTTATTAGCATCAAGGTGGTGAATCTCTGGAAAGAACCAATACTAGTAATCGAATTTTGGGTGTCCTAGTGATACTGTCATTCCTTGAATATTAGCAGTAGGCTTCAAAAATAATACTGGTCTGTGAACTAATGACAAGAGATCAGAATATATAAAGCTGTCACACCAAAGTACAAATTCCAAAGACTTATTGACCTCAAAGTGAGTCTCTTAGCAGATTTAGATGACGCGACTGCAGCCATCGACGTCCGGAAGACGCGGACACAGACATCGGCGTCTCGGATGAAAACGCTCCTGGCTCCCGGCGTGCACGCCGTCACCTCGCAGCAGGTGGTAAGGAAGACAGATATGCACCCAACCAGCATCAAACCAACCACAAAAATCGGAACAACCGAGAAGCAGTATTGCTTCTAATGGTGGTAAGATCTACTGAAGTTACTGTTTCCTTGCTGGCTTGGGATTTCTCCACCATTCGACATACCGGTACTGCTGGTGCGAAGAAGAATGTGTTTCCTTGAGTTTGTAGCAGTGGCTCTAAAATTTAGGTACATCTTCGTGTTCTTCCCATAGCTCTTCAAAGACAATGCTACCGCACCAGGACCCGTTGCAGCAGCATGCGATGCTGTGCTTTCCGGCACGGTCTAGCATTTTCTGACAACAATGGCACCGAAGAACTGTTAGTTTGCATTTTGGTTCGAGGAACGGATTCCAATTCCCATCCGACTCGGTCTTGTGTTGGAACCCCTGCCAGCGTCGAGGCATGGCCATTTATGTACAAATTGCTGCCGCTGTGGTTGGATTAGCGACCGTTTCCGAAACGAGCGTCAAGGCACACGCTTGACTCGCAGATCTGCCTCGCTAGCCATACCACCATCAGATTCCGGAATTTGTTTGACCAATATTTCTTGTGCTGCAAATTCTGCCACGAATTCGTGTCCCGATCCACCCGTGCCCTCACTCGGGTAGCAGCGGCTCGGTGATTGGGCACGCCTGGTGTTCGATGTTCGGTATCGAGCCGCAGGGTCTCGCGGCTGTCGACAGGAGGCCCGACCGCCGCCGGCTCCTCCCGGCAAAGAGCTCAAAAATTTCGGACGAGAACTCGTCGTTGCACCTTATGCAGGCATTCAGGACGCAGTCCGGAGCCGGCCCGTTGCTGGGAATCGCTGACTTGCTCTTGTTCTCGTCCGATGACGTAGAATTGAACCATTTCTTTATGTTGGCCGGTACATTGTACCATTTGCCAGAAGACGAGGTTTCGTTCGAATTCGAATTCGAATCCTGCTCATTCTCGCCTCCGAATTGGGGCAGAGTGGGACCCAGAACGCACTTCCCAAAGCAATTTTTCGCAGTCTTCGCCAAGAAAGAAACAGTTGTGTGAGTGGCATGTGCCTGAAAGCAACAGCGGGAGAGCGACAGACAACAATCGACAATCGACCGGGTGTGTGCTTACATTCCACGAGGTATCCGCCCAGATTTTGGCGCAATCCTGGGTCATGCCCAATCCAAGGTAGCAAGAGAGCCCGTTTTCGAGCGACGAGGCTGCCTGCCTCCTACAAAAGTTTCCCGGACTCGTTACGCCAACGAAATCCGTGTTCGCGTACCTAGTGGCAAACGATTGGGTAGCAAAAACGATACGGGAAACAAAAGACGGTCAGAATGTACAGTGCTGTGCTGTGCAGAACAAGCCGGCTCCCATCGCACCATCGAATCCGATCACAACCAGTTCTTTTTCAGTTTCGACAAAAACAATGGGCAACGTACACGGCCAGGTCTTGGAGGGTGCTGCAGACTCCGCAATTCCCGACGTGCGTCACAAAGCCCCCGGCGGCCTCGGCCTCCCCCCGCGACGGGTAGGTCTTGATGCGGTAGGACGCCGGAAAATCTTCGCATTCCGGGCCTTCGTCAAAAGCAAAGACGGTCGCGTTGGCCTCCGCTTCCCCGTCCAGGCCCCGCTCCAGAGGGAGCTCCCCGTCCGCTGGTCCCGCCTCGTAGTGGACGGCGCAGACGGCTGTCTCGCCGAGTTTTCTCCACCGAAAATCCGGGTCGAGGGGCGGCTCGGTGTCGCAGAGGATCCCGTCCTCGAAGGGGTTGCAGTTGAGGACGTACGGGTCCAGGATTTCCTGCGACTTCCAGGCGTCCAGGTGGGTCTCGGCCGGGTAGAACGAGGGCGGCGCGGGGCGCGACGGGCAGGCGTTGGAGGTGGAGTTGTCGGGGACGCAGTAGCAGCCGCCGCAGTCGGCCGTGGCATCCTCGACGTCCTTGGCAAAGACGGCAAAGTACCAGGCCACGACGCCGATGGCGGCCAGAATCGTCAGCGTCGTCACCACGCAGAAGCACTTCTGGCAGCAGCTCTTCTCCTCGCCCTTGTCGGAACCCATGCTGCTCTGTTGCTACTAGTAGTATGTTAGGAGTTGTGTTTTTGTTCTGTTGTGTTTGCGGTTGAACACTCAGTCATGAACGGATTTGTATCTGTGCATCTGTTGCCTTTTGTGTGTGTTCCGTGATCGATGTCGACAGTGGTTGTTGTTTGCTGTATCTCCGCAAAACGCAACAGCAACCTTTCTCTTCTCGCTTGTTCTCGCCTATTGTTGCTCCAGTCGTGAATCGTGAAAGAAAATTCGTGGAAATCAAAATTCAAAAATATAACGCTCATAAAAGTACGAAGTAGTACGGTACGGTTTGGTACGTACAGTACCGGGTACGCTACGGTAAAACGTTTTTCCGTTGTGCTCCGGCCTCCGGCGCGGTTGGCGTTCGACGCTCAGTCGTGCATACGGCGATTCTTCGGTTTTACAAGCGCCCGTCATGTATCACGACTGAACGAAACGAGACAGAAGGAACGCTGCGATTTTTTCAAAATCCGACCGCTCGGTGGGTGGTGTTTGCGAGACGTACCGTAGTACCATACCGTACCGTACCGTACATAGAATAGATACCTTGCTACTGGCAACGTGATGCGAGAACCACAAAATCCAAAATCTATTTCCTGTAAATAGTACTTTACCATACTACTCGTGAACTCAAACGATTGCTGATACGGACAGAGCTATCAAAGGCAAGCAAGCGCAAATAAAGCAATTTAAAAGATGAAAAGATTGACTCGACATTCCAAGCCCTGCACTTTCGGCCAGCGGATTCAAGCCCCACCAGCCACTCCCTGCCGGCGGATCCACTCGGATACGAGCCTGGACCCAAAGCCGGTGGCCCCCGAGGAATCGTTCCACACGGGGCCGGCGATGTCGATGTGCGCAAAGGGCACCCGTTTGGTGTCGACAAAGTGCTGCAGGAACAGGCCCGCCGTGATGGACCCGCCAAAGCGCGTCCCGTAGTTGTTGATGTCCGCGATCTTGGACCTGAGCTGGTCCTCGTAGGACTTGACGAGGGGCATCCTCCAGGAAGGCTCCCCCGTGGCCTTGGAGACGGCGTCGATCTCGCCGGCCAGGTCGTCGTTTTCCGTAAAGACGCCGCAGACCTCCTGCGAACGAAAAAAAAAAAGAAAAACAAACAGAGACGCAACGTTTGTGAGTGCACGAGAAACAGCGGAAACGACGGCCACACGGCAGGTCCACGCAACGCACCTTTCCCAGCGCCACCATGCAGGACCCGGTGAGGGTCGAGAGCTCGACGATCTTCTCGCAGCCCACCTCCCTGTCGCAGTAGACCAGCGCGTCCGCCAGGGTCAGCCTCCCCTCCGCGTCCGTGTTCTGGATCTCGATCGTCACCCCGTTCGAGGCCACCAGCACGTCGCTCGGAACGATCCCCCTGTCGTTGACCATGTTCTCGCAGGCCGCCACCACAAAGTGGCACTCCACCCCTTTCGGCCGGAGTGCCGCGGTGGTGAGGGCGGCGCCGAGGACGGCGGCGGCCCCGCCACAGTCGAATTTCATGAGCTCCATCATGGCGGTCTTGATGTTGTACCCGCCCGTGTCGAAGAGGAGGCCCTTGCCGACGACCCCCACCTTCTTGTTGGGGCCGGAAGCACCAGTGGTCGGAGGCGTGTAGGTCAGGTGGATGAACCGGGGCGGCGTCTCGCTGGCCCTCGCCACGCCCAGGTAGGCCCCCATCCCCCGTTTCTCGCAGTCGTCCTTGTCCAGGATCGTGCAGGAGAGGCAGCCGTCCATGCTCTCGGAGGCAATGGTCCGGGCCAGGTCCGCCAGCGAGAGCGAGTTGAGCACGTTGTGGGGGGCGTTGACAATGTCCCTGGCCAGGTGGACGCCCCTCGCGATCGCCTTTCCGGTGGCAACGGCGTCTTCCATGGCCGCCGTTTCGAAGCCGCCGGTCTCGGTCTCGCTGCTGCTGCTGCTGCCGGTGTCGCTGTAGCCGCGCAGGGCCACGGACTCCAGGTGCCTCGCGGGCACGGTGGGTTTCTGGATGGACTCCAGGCTGCCCCGGAAGCGGTGGTCCGCGTAGAGGCCCGAGTAAAAGGCCGCCGCCAGTTCCCTGGCGCAGGAGACGTGGGCTTCTCCCGGTCCGATGGAAAAGGGGAGGAGGACCGCCGCCCTTGCTAGCTTCGGGGAGGCTTCTTCGGAGCAGCGGGTGGCGATCGCCTTTCCCAGGGACCGACCGATCTTTGCCGAGCGCGAGGGATCCTTGTCGTCGCCCTTTTCTCCCATGCCGACGAGGACCAGCCTCCTCTGGGTCTTGGTCCTTCCATCGATCGTTCGCAGGGTGGGTGTAACGGATCCTTCCTTCGATCCGTTCTTGTAGGTCTCCGCGTGTTCCTCGAGCAGCGAGGAGATCGAGGCGTGGGTCTCGGCGTCGAGGGATCCCATGGACGATGCCGTTTCCGCTCCCCTCGAAAAGTGGCACACGAAGAGCAGGTCCGCGCCGGCCTTCTCGTTCTCGCCCTCGATCACCAGATCGGCCCGGTGAAGGGAGTTCAGCGGCGACATGCTCTCGCAGGCATCGCCGAAGGTCCAGGTGTTGAAACCGGGGCCGGAGGATTCGTTGGCATTGTTTGCGCTAGCCATTTTCGGAGAGGGTGTTCGGAATGCGTGGAAGGAATCGGAATGTGTTGTGTGTACCGGAAAGGTGCCGTGTGGTATGGTATGGTATGGTTGGGATGCGTGCCCGAGATAGATGTCGATCAATGGATGTCAACAGTAGAGTTCAATGCCGTTTGTATCGTACGGTATGGTACTCGTACCGCACCGCACCGCGAATGTCTGTCACTGCTCCTCCGAAAGATTCTTGGCGCGGTGATGGGCCTTCCGAAAGGCCTTCCTCGTGGTGACACACGACAGAACGAGTACGAGTTAGTACGTACCGTACCCTCACTTCTGGTCCCCTAGCTAGCTGTCGGTGCCGTACCGTATGGTAGTGGGCAGAAGATTACGTACTTCTACTTACTAGTATGTCGTAGTACAATACAAATGGTATCTTAACTCACGAGACATTTTTGAGATTTTATGGTTCTCACATACTACTAGTTCCTACGTACGAGTACGTACGGGTTTTATAACAATTGTATGTGAGGCTAAACAACAATCACGAGTAGCTAGTGAGTGAATAGTACCCTTACTCTTTACGTACGGATTTGATGATGTTCTACCGAGCTAGTTTTTGGAAATGACTCAATGGCAATTCATGATTGAAATGCCGGATTCATGATTGAGGGACCTTGGGGAATGAATCAATCCGACAGCAGCTCAGTGGAACCTGGCACATGATGTACGCTCAAAAGTTCATGAATTCAAATCAAAACTACGTGTGCTTGCTCACTGGCGAGACTGGTTTCAATTGTTGTGATATTTTGGTAGCGCGGACAATATTCATTGGTATATGTAATGCTCATACGAGTACTGGTACTACGTATTAATTTCTCCATAAATGAATCCCACATTGGAACGGTCTCCGTGATGATGAAAAATTAAAAAAACTGGTTTTGCAACTCCCTCCCAGGCGAGCAATTTCTTCGACGAGGCGACACAATACTGTATTATCGATTCAATCGTTCCACCAACAATCCCCCAGCATCTGTGCAAAACCGAACCTCTCCAATGAATCCTCTACGAAATTATTTTGAGCCCCTGGCAATTGCCATTGCGGTGCTGTCGGTGCTCGTTTCCTTTGTCTTGATGCGGAAGACAGACGACAAAATCGAGTCTTCCGACGAAACCGATTCTTCCGACGAAACCGATTCTTTCGACGAGCTCGCACACCCCAACAGAGAGGGGCGGGTAGCACCAATGGCCTCTTCCAATGAAATCGAAGACTTGTACGACAAAATTGAAGACCGGATCAATGAAATCCAAGACCGTTGCAACGAAATCCAAGACCGTTGCAACGAAATCCAAGACTCTTTCATCGAAATCGAAGACGTTTTCCGAAAAATCATTGGTGAAAGAAAACAAGAAGCTTCCAACAAGATCGATGACTCTTCCAACCAAATCGACATTGACGACTCTTCCAACAAAACCGAAGATTCTTCCTACAAAACCGAAGACTCTCCCTACGAAATCGAAGACTCTTCCGAGGAAGCCGAAGACTCCTCCGACGAAATCGAAGACTCTTCCGAGGGAATTTCTTTTTTGGAGTCTCTTCCTAGGAAATCTACACTAATTCACGGGCACGTGATATCGATGTAATAATTATTGGTTATAAAAATCTGCGGTGCCATACCCCCCACCCCCCAGGGTTGCCACCGCCTGCTGCCCCCGGATCACTGGGCCGGCTTTTTCTTTTTTGGGTTCGTGGCCCGGTTTTCCTTGCTGCGGGCCTTGCTTGCCCTCCCGCTGGAGCTCTTCCTGTGGTGCCTGCTCCGAAAGGCGGACGGGACGATGCTCCGGAGCAGGCAGCTCCCGGCGCCTCGGATCGAACCGGCGGTGTGGTGGAACCCGTCGCTGTCCTTGTCGCGGAGGCCTTCCATCCCGGAGGATGCTTCCGTCGGGTCGTCGCTGGCGTAGCTCGTGCAGGGGGTGACGACGGCGGTGGCACCGGGAGCTGCCCCGGCGTGGCCTTGCCCCCTCGTGGTGGTTGGTGTCTTCTTCTTCTTCTTCTTTTCCTTGCTCGTTGCCGCCTTTGTCTCCTTCTCGGTTCGGTCCGACCCGGTGCTGTGTTTGCTGGCCTTGGTGCAAGCGGAGCCTCCCTTCTTCGAAGCACGGGGGGGGCGCTGGGCGTCTTGCAAAGGGGCGGAGGAAGGAACCGCCTCCTGTTTCTGTTTCTCTTTCGGCTTGGGCTTTTGCTTTTTACGGACGCTCCCACTTGGATTCTGGTTTGGGTGCCGCGGCGTGCCCCCGCGTGGTTTCGGGTTGCCCGAAAGGTCCCCGGGGAGGGCCGGCCGGCTGTGGGGCTGGTCCGAAAGGGTGGGAATCGACGGCATGGCGGCCTCCATGGCCTGCAGGACGGCCTTGATGGTCTTGCTGCTGGTGTTGCCCGGGCTGGGGGTGCCGCTCCTGCTCCCGGCGAGGGTGGGTGCCTTGGGGAGGAGGAGGGCCCGGCGAGACCGCGGCCGTAGCCGCGGATGGGGATGCCTCGGATCGCGGCCGGCGGGAGAGGCCGCTCCGGATCGACGCTTCGTGGGAGACGACGCCGAGAGAGAGGAACCCGACGAGGACGAAAGGCTCGAGGACGTCTTGGTCGTGGAGCACATGCTGGCGGTGGGCGAGAGGGAGGTCTTGGTCTGTGGGGGGGTCTTTCCTCCCGAGACGCTACGGGAGTCCCGCGGGGCGACCACCGCGGGGGGCGAGCTTACGATTCCCGCGTGGTCCACCAGCGAGACGGGGCTGTGCACGGGAGACCGCGGGAGGCGGGGGAGCCTGTGATTCCTCGGGGAGAACCCGGTTGGTCTCGCTGCGCGCTGCTCTTCCCCGGCACGGGGGGTAGAAACGGCACGGGGTGGGTTGGCCGTGATTCCGTTTCCTGCGTTGCCCGTTCCGTTGCCCCGGATCGACCGCAGGGATACCTGGAGGAGTTCCAGGGTTCGCGTGGTGCTCGAAATGTCCTCCAGAATCGATTCCTCGAGGATCCGGAGGAGCTCCTCCCGGAGCAGCCGGGCCGAGGAGACCGCGTGCTCCCTGGAAACCAGGCTGGCGGAGCCGCAGAGTCCCGCGATGCGGACGGGGTCTTCCTCCACGCCACGGTCCCACGATCCGAACTGCTCGCCCAGAACGGCCTCGAGGCAGGCCTCCCGGGAGGCCTGCGTCCGATCGTATCCCCAGGGCGTCCAGGGCTCCAGGCCGTGGAGACAGGGAGGAAGGGAGGTCCCGTTGTCCCTGGGGTTGTCCTGGATGCGGTCCGTGTCCTTTGTGTTGTCCCTGGTGGTTTCCCCGGCTTTGTTCGTGTCCCCGTACATGCCCACGTCCCTGCCGTCCCCATCCCACGAGCGAAAGTGGGTTGTCGCTAGAAGCCCCGTGCGATCCCTTTCCCCGGATTCCCTTGCCCTTGTCCACGTTGACGTTGACGTTGACGTTGACGTCGCCCCCCCCTCGAGGCCGTCCTTCACCAGCATGCGGTGCTTCAGCCGCTCTTCCTTCTGCCGGGCCCGGATCGTTTCCCGGATCTCGGCGGTGGTCTTCTTGCGGGCCCGGTCCGCCGTGATCGCCTCGATCTCGGCGTTCCGGTCCTCCACGGCCCGGGCAAAGGACTCGGCCTCTCGCTTGCAGTCCCCGAGAAAGGCGTCGTAGTCCCCCCTGGTGAACCAGATCGCGGAGGCCTCCACCGTCCGGACCTCCGCCAGGTGGGACTCCCTCTTGAAGCGGACCACCCGGCGGCGGCTCTCGCGGATCGAAAAGAGGGCCTTTTGGAAGCGAACAACGCTGCTCCTGCTGCTGCTGCTGTGGTTGTGGTTGCTACAGCTGTAACTGATGCTGGTGCCGATGCTGCTGCCCGCGTGGAGGTGCACGGGTCGGGGGGACGAGAGCGAAGCGATGGTGCTGTCGCCCTCGATCGTGAAAATCTCGTCTTGTGGTTGTAGTTGCTGATTGTGATGGTGATGGTGATAATGGTGCTGTGGGGAGGAAGGGAGTTGCTGCAGATCATGAGGGTCTTGGTGATGAATCTCATCGTCATTGTCTTCATCTTGGTGTTGCTCTTGGTGATGCTCTTGGTGATGCTCTTGGTGTTGCTCTTGGTGTTGCTCTTGGTGATGCTCTTGGTGGTGTTCTTGGTGATGCTTTCGGTGATGCTCTTGGTGTTGCTCTTGGTGTTGCTCTTGGTGTTGCTCTTGGTGTTGCTCTTGGTGATGCTCTTGGTGATGCTCTTGGTGGTGTTCTTGGTGATGCTCTTGGTCGTGCTCTTCTGCCGGCTCAAAGACAAATCGAAACCCCTCCTCGTCCGGATCGTTCTCGTTCTCGTTGGATTCCGAGGCCGTGAGATCCTCGGTTGTGTTGGAATTGCCGTTGATCGAGCTCATGGTCATGCTCGTGGTCATGCTCCCGGTGTTCCCGCTGGCGTCTAGGTCTACCTCCCGCTCGAGGTGCTTCGCGAGGATGGAACTGTTGCACCGCTTGTCGTTCGCTCCGCAGCGATCGGTGTTCTTCTTCTTCTTCTTTGTTTCGTCGCCATGGACGAAAGAGGTTCCCACTGGTTCGTGTTCGATCCCCCTTCCTCTCGTTGGGGCCTCCGCAACGGGGATCCGGATGGATCGTCGGCGTACCATATCGAAGGATTCGTCTGTCTTATAGTGGAGGCCGGGCTCTTCCGAGTTTGTTCTTGCTGTCTTGTGTGTTTAAATGCGAATATATGTGGATGGGTTGGTGCCGCTTCCTCGTCGTTCGGCTGCGTCGCGGAGTCCAATTGTTTGGTTTTCGTTCGATTATTGCCGAGGCGAGTGCCGGAGGCTAAAACCTTCGAAGGATCCACGATGAAAGAACAATGATGTAAAATCGCAAACAACGGTCTTATTTTTATACCACGGTACCACTGTACCCCTCCGCTCCGTTTAGCTCACCCGGATTCTTGCGGCACCAGGGCACCGCATCGTAAGTGGTGCCTTGCACTTCCCGATGGGATTCACTATATATCTTCGTCGAAGCCTACCATCCGCACCGACTATATATCACTTTGCGGTTTCGTGAAACGGTATCGGAAAAAGATGCCAACCCGCTACCAACCCCAGTCACGCTTTGGTCCGCAGTTCCGGAACCTATGCCTCGGAATCAGAGACAACCGTTGCTTAAGGTTACTCGACGATTTTCTTGGGTTGAACCATCGAAATATATGGGCTTTTCTGTTTTCAAGGCATGTTGCCTCCATATATATGGCGAAGGAATTAACGTGCCTCTTCTGGATAACATCAAGGAAACAAATAAGGTCGGGGATCCAACTTTCTGCAAAAGTATGAAGCGTACCGTACGGTTGCGTTTTCGTTCTTTAGGGGAGATTTCCGATTTCCATTGTTTTCTTTGGGGGAAGCACACCGTTTTGACCCTCTATTATTACTATTTACTGTACTATTTTAGTCTTCGTTTTTTTCTTCTACAAGGACTTCTTCTGTACGTTTGGTCACAATGACACATATTTCGGATGCAGAAGTATTATTTATGCCAGTCATGTTTGCAACTAGTGTAGTACGAGTACTTCGTAATAAGTACGGTACGCTACGTAGTAGTATTTCGTACGTAGCATAATTTTTGTTTCATGGGTTTTTTTTTGGTTTGGCAAGGCGGCGCACCTGCCTCGGCGTGCTGCGTCGTCACACGACTCGGCCCGGCTTCGTGGGTCACAAAATGAGTGTGCATTGGTCAGAGAACCAAAGCAAGCGATGGTGTTTGTGCATTGGTGCAACCCCAGAGGCACGACTGCCGTTCGTACCGGTACGTTTCGGTCTTTTTTTGTGAGAGGAAACCGAAGGCTCACCCCACAGGCTGTGTGGTACGCTGCGCGTACGCGGGCTACGAAGACAAGCGTACGACAACTCGTAGGGTACGTACCATACCGTACGGTACGGTAGTGTTCCGGTTCCTGCAGTGCGAGCCGCGAAGGACATCCATCGCAGTTTCAACAAACCAAGCTTGCACGATACCGTACGCAGCTGCATCCAATCCAACTCCATCGCCCGACTGTTCTTGACTCCACGTCCAGTTCGGTTAGTGCAGAAAGAGAAGAACCACCCCGGAACCGAGAAAGAGACGAAACGTCGAAACGAGAACAAGCTGCTTGGTCGACGAACGATCAGCATTGCATCAAGTCGCATCGCATCGCATCGCATCAAGTCGCATCGCATCGCACAAAGTCGCAGCCAAAACAAAGAGCATCGCAACCTCGCACTGCTCGAACCAGTGGCAAAGAAAGAAAAGACAGAGAACGGATCACGATGAAGATTTTCGCAGCGGCACTCTTGCTCCTGAATACGGACGGGAATTCCGTCGGTGCCCAGATGATGGGAGGGGGATACGGAGCGCGCCGGGAAGAAAAACACCACCGCGGTGAGTACCACGAGGAACCGGAACACATCCTGACCAAGGAGGAAATCGGGGACCGGGACCGCTTCTGGAAGCGCAACCTGGTGGAAGAAAGCGTCGTCCACGAGGGGGTGAACCACTACCACAACATCAAGAACTGCATCCAGGAAAGGCTCACCGAAAAAGAGTTCTCCGAGCTCAAAACGGTGAACAACCATTCCGTCCGGTCCATCGGAAGGACGATCGACGATCCCAACAACCACGGCATTCCGATGCTGGTGACGGTCGAGAACGCCATGCACCCGACCCACGTCAGGGCGGTCCAGACCCTGGCCTCCTGCATCCGAAGCTTTCTTCCCCACCTCTACGAAAGCCGGGCCATGTACCAGGAAATGAACCTAGACGAGGACGACGGATCCGGGGGCAACTGCCCCACCCACCTGGCCCCCCTGGTCGGCGTCTTTCTCCCCGAGGTGGACCGGGAAATGGCGGCCACCCTCGAGGTCGCCTACCGGGGCACCCCAGGCTGGATCGCCACCGTCCGAGAGGACCAGGCGGACCCCCACATGCCCCGGGACAAGAAGCTCTACCCCCCGGCAGAGGTCGGCGTCCGGGCCTCGGAGCACCTCACCTACTCGGACTTTCCCCGCCTGGCGGAGCACCACGACGGAGACACGTGCTACACGATGAACTTTGCCTTCTCGGCCCCCGGGGACTACGAGGGAGGGGAGTTCTTCATCCTCAGCTACGACGACGACGGCGAGAACGAGTTCCGCGACACGATCAAGCCCAACCAGTACGACGCCCTGGTCTTTCTGGGCGGCAGGTACCTGCACGGGGTCAACGAGATACACGGTGGCCACCGCGAGATGTTCAGCACGGAGCTCTGGGCCTACCCGGACACGCCCTTTGGATCCAGCCTGTGGTCCAACTTTCCCAACAACATGGAGGACTACGTCGAGCGGTGCAACAAGGAGCAGGCAAAGACGGGAAGCGACACGTGCACCCTGCCCTACGACCTCATCACGCCCTTTGCCGACAGCCGGGAAGAGGTCCGGCAGAAGTACGAGGGGGGTGGCGCGGGCAGCGACGACGAGGAGGACGACGACGACGACGAGGACGCCAAGCAGTACGACTATGACCGCAGCGAGCGAGACGGCCACGGAGATCCCCTCCCACCGCCCCTCCCCGGGATCGACCGCCAGCACGACAACAAAATCCGGCCCAACCGCGTCCGGCCGAACAGCCTCCGGGCCACGAGGGTCGTCTTTACCGACGGCTACGGCAAGGAGATGGAGCTGGACGACTTTTACCCCCACAAGGACGAACCCGACTTTTTGGTCCCAAAGAAGCTGGGCGTGGCCGAGATGGAGCCGATCCGCTGGCGGGAGGACCTGAGCCCCGTCGACGGGCCGGACGGAGAGTCCTTTGTCATTGGCTTTCCCCCCGAGCTGCACGAAGAATTCAAAAAGTACGTGGCCCGATCGGGCATGATGAGGATCGCCCACCAGATACTCTACCAGGAAGAGGAGCTGGAAGTGGACGAGCAGCGGATCTACACCCTCGACGACGGAGAGAAATGGACGGCCATGGTGCAGGGATCCTGGGACACGGACATGGTCTGGCTGGATCCCGGGGACGAGTCCTGCTTCGAGTCTCTCCTGGGAGTCCTGCGGAGGGGGGGATTCGACAAGGTCCTGGACAAGGTCGGCAAGACCTTCGACCTCAACGGGCTGATGATCCAGGGCGTCGGGGCCATTTTCTTGTCGGAATACACCAAGACGGAAAACATGCACGTGGACATCCCGGGGAGCCGGGGCTCCTTCTACAACATCATCGTCCCCGTCCACATCCCGGCCGACGACGTGGCGATCTTCAAGATCAGCGACAAGGGAGACGACTTCCAGGGCCGCATCAAGCTCGACCCGAACGTCGGGGTCGTTCTGGGGGGAGAATCCAGGCACGGGACGGGCGAATGCAACTACCGCAAGCGCGAGGACTTTCGTCTCTCCTTTGCCGTCTACGTGGCGGACATCAACGACGAAAACATCGAGATGATCGCCGGCGACTCGACCTCCCTCTGGCCGACCCAGGGGGACACCTTCTTTTTCGAGTCCCAGAAGGGACGCCTCTGGACCAGGGACGGGAAGAACTCGCTGGCCCGCGACAGGGGCCGGGCGCCGATGAACATCCAGGACTCCCTCCCGGAGTGCGCCACGATGGACAGGGACCTCTGCACGAGGGACGTCCAGGGAATGCGGCTGGCCTGCCCCAAGACCTGCGAGCTGTACCTGGAGGACGACGTCTACTATTCCAGGTACTTCCCGAACCGGACCGCCGAGCCACCGACCTGCGACAACCCTGCCTGCGATGCCTAGGAAGGAAGCCACCAAACACACGGTATCTCGCGGGGGGCTCGAACGTCGCTCCGTCTCTACCACTACTACTCCTACAGCACCTGCTACTACCATAGACTATTTCAAACGCTGCAACCCTTTCGGGACTGCCTCTGCCGTTTTTAACCGGACGAATGCTGCGATTCGTTAGTGTTTTCTCATCGTACTCGAACCAGTAATGATCTAGATCCTCATGGTTGTCCCAGCGAAAGAAAATTCGTCGACCCAAACGACCCATTATTCGTGACTAAAGTACTGTTGGTTCACTCCCAAAACTTGAAATTGAGATTTTCTCCCTCGACCGTGATTTCCCGTACCGTAGCGTACGTACTCGTGAGAGTAGTACGAATTTGCAACGCAACCGCACCGTAGTTCACACGTACCGTTCTCCTCTCTTTTCGGCTGCCAAGCACTGTGGGAGTCAAAAACTATGCCGCAGCACCGTGGTATTTTCACAACGTCCGTGGGAATCGATCGGGCTCGAGCCCCACGGCCAATCGCACAACGAAACCGCTGCCTCGAACTGCGGTATGGAAACCGTCTGCGGGTCGCCGAAGGCTGGTGGGAATGCCGTTCGATCACAACGCAAGCGGCGGCGCCCATGGGAATCGATTCGAGTCCGGTGGCCTACGAAACGACGGTGCAAACCCCCGAAACAGCTCGGAAATGGGGAGGCCGTCTGCGTTTCGCCGAGCGGTGGGAATCGGTCGACTTCAAGTTTGCGATTAACGGGTAGAACGAAATGACTTCTTTCGTGCTCGGCTTTGGGTCTCTCTTCCCGTCCGAACTGTGCATTCTAGGATCCAAACAACTGCATCGGGAGGGATTGCAATGACCCGGTGGGCAAAACCGCGATCTCCTACGAGAGCAAGCGTACAGTCCGGTAGAGACAAAGCATCGGAATCACCTCGGATTCGAGAAAGGGTGCAAAATATCTCCATTTCGAATGCTGGTTCCTACCTCTCACAAAACCAAACTTGATCCAAACTCAAAAGCAATTTGAACAAACCAAACAACTACCCCTATCAACTACTTCCACTATGATGACCTTCAACTTCTCTACCGTTGTCCTCGCCCTTGTCGCCGCCACCTCCTTTGTCTCTGCCGACTACGTCTGCGAAAACCAGGCCTTCTTCAAGCTAGACACCAAAAAAAAGCCGTCCAAGAAATCGATCGATTCCCTTCATACCTTCATGTTGGATTCCTTCCAGGAAGCCTACAAGAACAACGACGACATCAACATGCTCTCCGACAAGTTTGAAAGCGTAAGTTTATTGTTCCGGTTGTTGCTTGGTGTTGCCAGAACTGCAACCGAAACTGCCTGTTTGTCTAACGGACCGATTCCATGTTTTTCTTGGGCTGGTGCAAATTCATAGTTCTCGCTCGGAAAGGACTCTTCTTCCATCCTTTCCGCTCTTCGCGGGGGAAACAAGGACATCGATACCCTTGGCTACGGCGGGGGATCTTATTACAGCCAGGGCCGCTGGGGCTGCAACTGGTGCAATGTTGACGACGACGCCGCTCTCGGGGCCACCATCGAAGCCATCGACTTTGGTATGGCGCTCACCACTTCCAGCGAGCACCGGTTGTGGGAGAAACTCTTCTGCCAGAAGGCCCGCACCAACAAGGACTTTAAGACCATTAGCGGGTGCTCCATTGTTTTGAGCGACTGCCACAACGAGAATGGAGACGAAGACGCAGTCGAAGACGAAACCAACATCTTGTCGGCGGTAAAGAACATGATCAACTAGGTGACCGCTTGGACCGAAACAGCACGACTTTAACTGCACGACGGACAGGCATATAGAAAAGAAAACACCATACGTCGCAACGAAATGCGATGGCATAGAAAAACAAAGAAAAAGAAAGAATCACAACAACGAGAATACCCTTGATTTTTAAACACTACACAAGGAAGGCCGTCCAGTCCAACCATTCAAGAAATGGAAATTTTACATAAATTTAAATTAATTACATATTGCATTACAATTGAGCCACTTATGTCAGGGCGTTGTTATATTGAGTGTGATTCGATGGTATCGCGTACACTTTGTCGACTTCTATTGCAGCTCCTAGAACGATGAATGCCACGAGTGCTGTATCTTGCAACGATTCAATGAGATCGACCCAGCATCCCTTCGCACTCGTAGTTCTCTTGGATCAGAAATGGCCTATGGTTTACACTCGGCGAGAAAGATTCAAACACAAGTCACTTTTATTTGGGCGCAACGGGAGCGATCATGATCGGCGCAACGGGCAAGTCCGATCACCTGGTAAACAAACAGAAGACGAGAGATTACATGTTCGTGTACGACAAAAGCGACAGGGATTCAAGTCCGTCACCTTGGTTTCAATCGGTGAATAGGTGAGTCTGCCTTTGGTTGCTCGGGATTTTGTTTGGAGAAAAATAGAATTTCAATGTTGGGTTGTCGCCCTCCTCGGGGGTTACTGTGGTTCGTTGATGATGCGATTTTTGATTGTTTTGCGTTCTGAATGGTGGGGTACGATCCGTGTGACCTCCGAAGGCGTTGCTGTGGACAAGTTCCCGTTGTGTCATTCACGATTGTTTTGATTCGTGTTACAGCGTAAGCGAGGAATATGTATTTTTAGTACAGGTACGTACTTGTACTATCTTTATGGAGAAAACAACATAGTACCGTACGACTTGCAAGAAACGTTACAAACCGCGAGCCGGCATGCACGCCAGAGAAGATTTTGAATTATTTTTGCGAAAGAAGTACGATCAAGACCCGACTAAAACCCGTAGCGAGTCAGACTGCATCAAGACCGTTAGGAATGGTATTTTTAAAAATAATTGTTCTTGTTGGAATCATCGGTCAACCCCATCGACCGCGAGAAGAACAAAGGATACCGGTAACATCAATCTGCCTAACCTCAGCACGCACAACCTGAAGCTTACACATTCTCAATCACTTGCCCAACAACTCACGCCGAAACAAAATGGACAACAGACCATCGCTTGAAACTAGCTATGTTGGTGGAGGGTACCTCAACAATAGCGGCAGACACCATGGTGCCTACCCACCGGACAGTCCCTCTGCCTATTCTCAGCTAACTACCGCAACACGACGAGATGAAGAGGAAGAAGAAGATCCGGACGCACCAATTATTATCCGAGTGGTCGCTCCTGCAACGCTTCCGGAAGGATACACAATCGATGTCTTGTACAACGATGAGCCACACACAGTCGATATCCCTCGCGGCGGAGTCCGGGAAGGAGAAGAATTCGAAACGGTGATCGATCCGAAACGAAAGTATCGCGAGCAACACAGCACTCGTCGAATGACACAAATGGATCAACTCGCTGAAGAAGAAGAGGACACCTTTTCGAGAAGAAACAATGCTTATTCGAGAGACGAATCGCAGAGGGATCAAAGAAGAGACTCCCAGCGAAGTGGCAACAGTGTCCAGCAACGACACACAAGCAAACTTCATTCTGCCAAACTCTATAACGACGACGGATCTGTTTTTACAAATGACACCATGAACAAAACTAAGGACATCGAACAGTCCAGCACATTCCCAGCTAGTCTATCCGGTGACGAAGAAACGATGATGGAAAAAACACATATCCAAAACAAGCAATTGGCCATCGTAGAAAACAAGGGTGATGATGCCGAGGGAGAGAACAAGGATAAAGTCTGGTACGATAAGAACGGAACTCCGCACGGAAAATGGCGCACTCGTCTCTTTAGTTGCTGTGATGTGCTGACTCAATCCACCTTCTGGATGGGATTAATTTGCGCACCAGTTCTCATGGCCCAACTTATCACTAGAATGGGATTGACCTGGAATGGACGAGAGGGACCACCTGAAGAAACCTCTCTTAGCTACAATCGTATTGTTTTGGGTTTGGTGTTCATTATGAGTCTTTACTGGATCCCAGTATTTGGCACTATTTGCGTTTCGATCTACTACTTGGTGGTGGTGGTCTACATTGGATCGCAGGTCCGTCGGTTCATGCGGCAAAAATACAGCATTCCCTCCACCCTGCCAACCCGGTGCGGAAATCGCATCGATGATGCCTGTATGATGTTCTGGTGTGGATGCTGTTCCTCCATTCAGATGGCCCGTCATACTCACGACGATAAAGACTACCCCGGGCACGCATGCACTACAACCGGCTTGGAATTCAATGCGCCTTCGGTCGTTTAGTTCGTTATAACACTGATCAACCAAACGAAACCCGCCAAAGCGCTCGTCAAAGATTCAATCAATGAAGATCACCAGCAATCGCAATATTAACGATAGAATACATCAACAGGACTGATGTACAAAAATATTTATTTTAAGAAGAAACGATGGGTATACTTATTTATTACCCTTTGCCACAAGATTATCGTTTCTATACTCTCATCGTACATAATACAGAAATAAAGACACATTATCCAAAATATCTTACGGTAAATGGCATGGTCGTTGCGCTGTTTTCTGTGCAAGAACATGTGAGAATATTTTTGTCATACAAAAACAATGAATAGTCTTAACTGTATATTATATTATTATTACACTTGTTGTATACTGTATTGTCGCGAAATTCCGACAGGGACGGTTGAAATGAATCTAGCTGATACATCTATCTGCTCCAGAGTATACAGTAAAATACCTAAGGATACATCATAATATGTGTACGTGTGGATGTGGGTGGGTGGGCCGTTTCGTTGTGTGCATAAAAATTGTGTTCTTCTTTGAGCGGAACAGATGCAATACAACTGAACTCGATTCGCACCGGTCTCGTGGTTCGGACACAGTCGTTGTGTCGTGTTCTTTATATTGTATGTATGAAGATTCCGGTTGCTTTTGTTTTGTTTGTTTCGTGTCTGTTGATTCGCGTCGTCGGAATGAAGAAATGTGTAGCTTGACGAAGTTTGGAAATGGAAGAACCACGAAACAGTGACATCGTGTGCAAGACGTCGTCGGATCAAGACGAAGCATCTGTGCGGATTGTGTGTGCATGTTGTGAATGTGTGTGTGTGTGTGTGTGTGTGTGTAATTGTGTGTGTAATTGTGCTACCGTAGCGTTGGAGTTGTGTTTAGTATAGCTGTGTGCGTGTGTTGGTTTGGATATTGATATCCTATGGCATTGTAAGATCGGTAATAGAAAGCTGGGCCAAGAGCTTCCAAATAGATTGATTTGACTTCGAGATGGAATCTATGTGGAGTCGACATGCATTCCCTTCGTATAAGTTAGAATCGAATTGCATCGATTCGAATCTCATTGAAGCGCATAATCCATTTGCTGTGAATCATTTATTCATTTGTTCACAACTTGTCGACGCCCAGATCGTAGTTCGCAGTGATGGAAAGATCGACAAATTCGGAGAGGGATTCTTCCGCCGACTTTTGTCTCCCCTGTTTCTCTGTTTCGATGGCTAGCCGCGCTTCTGCGGTGGTGCTAGCATCGGCAGAAAGAGTCGCCGTCGGTGTCGCGGCTGTAGTGCTGCTCCTGCTCCTAGTATCACTACCTAAATTGACGGGCTTCCTTTTTGATTTCGATTTCCTCCCTCCTGATTCGCTCCCCTTTGCCTCCGGGATCCCCATCCCGGGAGATACCATCCGGAAGGAATGACCGTGTCCCATCAGCGTGGACCGCGTGGAAGATGGAACGGTGATGCAATCTAGGGAGACTTTCTTCCCCTTTCCAGCGCTGAGAGCAGCGACGCACAAATCGGCAATGTCGGAGCGGCTGATGCGGGTGCGCACCGCCGGCTGCTCTTCGTTGTGGTTGAGCTCGAGGAGGTGGTCGTCCACGCCAAAGACAAACTCGCCCTTTCCACCCGGGCTGTCCACCAGGCCACCAGGGTGAAGGATGGTGTAATCAAGGCCGCTCTAGTGATGGACAATTATAGAGCGGTATTGTGTAGAATGAAATATGCAGAAAGGTCCACACGGAAATTCATTTCGATTCACGACAGATCCGAAAGAAAAAGATCAAATTAAAAAAATCAGACCATATTGGTTTTGATTATTTTCTCCATACAAACAACCAATCCCAGTTTCCAAAAACACGACGCAAACACCACACTCACCTCCACCAGGTATTTTTCGGCCTTTCGTTTCCAAAGTAGAATGTCCCCGTGACCTTCTCCTTGCTTGTATCTGAGTTGTTTATCTTTTTCTTCTTCCTGGTGCTGCTGATGGTGGTGCTTACCCACCGAGTTGAGAAAATTGTCGGGGTTGGTCCCGCCCATGGACGAGATAAGCACCACGTGGGGGATCCCAAGCCGCTTGGCTAGGTCAATCTGGGCCTTTTGGCCCTTGTAGTCGACCTTTTCGGGATAGTCCCCGTGTTTCCAGGCAAAGCGCATCGAGCGAACGTTCATGATCGGCTTGCCTCGAAGGGCCCGCCAGGGTGCCAGGACCAACATAGCGGCCAGGGATCGCTTTCGGATTCGCGGAACTGCCGACGTGCAGATGATCATGGCGTCCATCTTTGCGAGACCGTTGCATTTCTCGCTCTGATCGGTTTTTCCGCAGAGCACCGTTGTTTCGCTGTGGTGGTCGCTGCTATTGCTGCTGCTGTCGTTGCTGGAGGACAGATCGTCCAGAAACGTGGGGCTTGTCACGTCGGCGATGACAACGTGCTCGAGCGGGCACTTGGTGTCGACGTTTTTGACAATCCTTCGGGCTGATTTCTCGGTCCGAAACAAGCCCTTGGGTTCGTACCTGTGGTCCTCCTCGAGCTTGGACAAGACTATCCGGCCCGTCTTCCCCGCAGCCCCAGTCACCAGGACCCGGACGGGGTTCTTGCTAGACTGGGGCTGACCAGAAAAGGCATCGATGTTGCTGGCTAGCAACAACGCCACACCATAGAATGAGAAGATCAACTCCATTGCCTGGCTTACCGAATGCATCGCGTTGCGTTGCGTTGTGTTGTGAGGGTATGTGGCGTGGAGTGGTCTCTCTCCACAATCAGGAAAAGCTTGTCGCTTCGTGTGCTCTCCTTCTGCTTGGACACTTGACCACTATTGTATTGCTAGATGCGTTGCTAGGATACAATCTCCGAATGGGAAATTCTGTTTCCCTGCCGTTTTCCGAAGCAAGCAACTATTCTTCTGATTTCTAGATGCGAAGAACAATAGAGCCATATGCTCTCGGTGGACTAATTATATACCGTTCGTCAAAGAAAAGCCCGGTACCCGTACACTGAATTTCAATGATAGCGGTGTTTGAGACACAGCCGACAGTAAGAAAGCGGTAGAGATGGAAGATGGCAGATGTCACTGTTGCGTACGAGTACTTTACTTCTACCGGTAACTGGTACGTACCTCACAGTAAATGAAAAAATTACGGGGGCGGCATTTTTCGAATCATACGGAAGAACAGTCTATTTCTCGTATTCTTCTTTTCGTGTCATCACAACAAAATCACGAAGATGAAGAAACTCGCTCATTTTCGTACGAAGCACCCATCCGGGTAACGGACAAGCCACGATGGCTCTGCCGATTTCAAGCGAGAGGAACCGTACCACATGTTTTGTATTCTTTTTTGGCACTAAAAATGATACTAGTTGTCATAATGATTCTTTTTCCTCGTACTCAATGAACGTACGTTCGTAAGCCTACTGAATGAACGGCGTGGCACAGATCAAGTGCGTATGGTTTGGTCGGATGTGGCGCGAACGGACCCATTCAAACAGGTGCATCGTGTCACGAGTACGTATAAAGCGTGCATCATCATTCTTTTTGGGGCTCGATGCCATCTTCAACTAGAAACAGATGCTATTGTTTAGGCTTCTCGTAATTACCGTAAAACGCACGTTTTCCCTGTTCAAGCATCTTGCAGTTCACACGATGGGATGCTATGATTGGTCGCTCTTCTACTACGGAATCCACTGTACGGTTCCTACCATGGGATTTGATTAGTGTAAGAAACAATCGTGTCAATCCCTGATTAATGATTAATCCCTGGTTATTCGTGGATTCCCCTAAAACTCGAATGAAAATCTCAAAAAAATTAAAAATACGGAACACCTTACTTCTAGTGATCTTCAACTGCAAATGGCACTGGATGAGAGGGAAGTGAAACATCGATAATCGATCTCAAGCCCACGGGGGTGGCACACCGCTAGATGCATCGGGTGTGTCACCGGCAGAGACACCGGGCGTATCGTTGGAGGAGGCACTGGCATCGGCGGAGGCACCGGGCGTGCCATCGGCAGGGAGACCAGGCGTGCCATTGGAAGAGGCACTGGCATCAGTAGATGGACCGGGCGTACCATTGGCAGAGGCACTGGTATCGGCAGAGGCACCACCCGTAACATCAACAGAGCTATTGGACGAAACCTCACCAGAGACACCGGGGGTAGCACCGGCGGAGGCACCATCCGTGCCACCATCCGTATCACCGGGGGTAGCGCCCACCGACATTTCCACGGTAATCGAACTCGTGGGCGTGGCGGTTGCCTCCGAAAAGCTTCGGGTCGGATTAGCACAGGTGCAGACAACGGAAGGCACAATGAAGAAAGAAAAAGGGTTGAGCAAAATGGAACCAATGAATAAAAACATTCTCTTGCTAGCAAGTGCATGCCCAGCGTTGCACTCGATGGGTGCTACAATGTACGACTCACAGTGGTAGGATCGCCCCGTTTAATATGTGTACAACGCCCGTGCAGGTGACAAGGTTGTAATCGATCACCTCCGGATTTCCCGGGCTGTTCCCGTCGCCAACTTGGAAACGTTTAACGACCTCGGTGCCGGCCTGGTTCATCCCGCATTCCGTGGTAGTGGTGGAGTTGTTCGACATTTCCAGGGTCTGGTCACAGACTAAATCCTCCAACAGCAGCTTGGTCCCGAGGACCACGTGGTTCCTGAGGATTTCGGTGACATCCCCGGGGTTTGTAAGATCGAAGGATCCTTCGCTAGTGTATGCGAAGAGCCCCTCGTTTGGAGGAGAAAAGAAAGCGTTTGCAGGAGCAAAGACTGTGGCAGCAGTGGTGTCGAGAGCATTCAGGAGTTCCACTCCCTCGGGATCGTTTCTTGACAAGCCAACCAGCCGGCAGAAATCTTCGAGATCGGCTCTCGAGCATACCGCATCCCCTGTGTAAGAAAAGAAAACGAAGAAACAATCAGAACGGGGAGGCAATCGGCGGCATCATTGGTTAGGAAAAGATGATTTGAGTGTTTCGGATCGCACCGCATGGAACAAACGAAAGCCGGTTGTCCCATGAAAAAGATGATTGTTTCGTTCGTACCAAAAGATTGACAATCCTCGTCGTCTGGAAGTACATCCGGTGGCGGCCCATCTAATCCCGGGGGCGATATTGTTCCCGGAAGGGAAGGAACCACCCCGTCGATGCCGTGAAGGATTCCGTTACATGCTGCAACGTCGGGGGTGGTGATCCTCACCACCGCTTCTGCGGCCGTGGTATTGGCGTTTGCATCTCCGGTAACCACGAAGCCGTCGAGGGCGCACGAAATTTCGGCGCTCCCGCCATTGGCCGTTGTCAGGGACAAGGATGATGAGTTGCTGCAGTCAATGGCGCTTGACTCGATCACGGATCCGGCAATCGTGTGGAATAAAAGAATGTCCCGAATGGCCCCGGCGTCGGTCTCGTTGTTGAACATGGAGTCCGAGAAACCCAGCAGATCATAATTTTCGATAGCAACATTGGTAGGGGCGAAGACTGTAAGGGAAGAAAACAACTCGTTGTTGCTAGAACCATCCAGTGCTGCTTCCAATCCCGCGGCTTCTATCCAGCCGCAGAACCGAGAAAACTCCGGGGTAGAACATGCAATGTCGTCTGGGGGACGATTGGTATCCAGAAATAGAGGGCCAAAAAAACAAGGAACGTAAGCGAACAAGTGAATTTCAAGCAGAACAATATGAACCATTCTTCGCGAAGAAGGTACTTCAAAGGGGGCAGCAAGAGAGTGGAAAAGCAAAAATCAAAACATATTAAGGCTGTCACGTACACACGGATTCGCACTGCTCCGGAAGAATGATCTTGTCGACCACGTGAACCACACCGGTACAGGCTGCGAGGTCCGCTTCCACGATTTGCGGCAGCGGCCCCGTGTTTCCTTCCCCGGCCTGGAAGACCGCGTCGCCCTCGCATCGGGTCGTTGTGAAGCCACCGTTTGCCATTGCCAACCGCTCGTCGCACACGAGATCGCTTGCAGACAACACCACATCGGGCACCGCGTGGTGCCGCAGGACATTCAGGATGGCTTCGGTGCTGGATACATCGATCCCCTGGAGGTCGAGAGCCGCCTCGTTGTTGGGCGCAAATATCGTAAACGCACCGTTGTTCAGCGTGTTGAACAGCTCGGCGCCTTCCGAGTCCGCTTCGATCAACCCCGATAACTGGCAAAGTGCCGAAAGGTTTTCTTTTGAGCACACGAGTTCGTCTTTGGATTTTCACAATGGAAACGCATCCCAGATCATATAGAAGAATAGAGCGCAACGCAATAAAAAAAAGCAAATGGAATGATGTGAATTAAACGAAAAACAAAGGACTTGATGCAGTAATTCTCTCTCTCTCTCTCTTTCTCAGGATACAATGCGTTTCCCTGTTGCGTTCGTACCAAATGTTTGGCAACCCGGGCCGACGTCGATGTCTTCCGCTTCTCCCAAAATCAGTCCATCGATGGCGTGAACGATGCCGTTGCAGGCACGAATGCCAGGGTCCGTGATCCGTGGCAGTGCATCGGCGCCGTTGCCGTCCCCCGCTAGAAAAACAGTGCCGTCCCTACAGCTAATTTCTACGCCTTGGCCGTTGGGAATTGTCACCGGCGCACCGCTGTCGCAATCGACGTCGGTCAACTCGATGACGGAGCCGGTGACGATGTGGTATCGAAGAATATCCCTGACGAGATCGTTGTCGGGCGTGTCCGAGGCACCAAACACCCTGCTGATGGCCGCATCGGTGGGAGCGAATAACGAAACGTCACTGCCGGAAACCAATGATTCTTCGAGCCCCAGGGACTCGATCCAGGAGCAGAGAATTGAAAATTCGGGACAAATTGTATCGTCTGTGTGTGGAGGAAAAGAACGCCAGAAGATGAACCGGACAGAATAGGATGCAACGAAAGGCGACGAGAGTGAGCAAGCGAACGGGTTGGCCAGAGGAGAAAAGAAAAACAAAGCCGGGATTTGATTCCGTGGAACCATTCGATACACTCTTTCTACGTTAACGGGTACGCACAGATCGATTGACACTCGACGAGTTGTTTGCCCGTAATGGAAAGACTCGGCATCTGATCGGGATCTCCGTTGCTCGTGACGAAACGGTCTCCCGGTTCGTCCGATGGTACCAGGTTGTCGATCATCATGGTGATGATGGTGTCGTCGTCGTCGTCGTCGGCAGCGGCGGCGCCCGGTGCCTGTAGACCCCTCGCCCGCTGCAAACCACCAGAATGCCCTTCCCTTCCGCGGAGGGCCCTCTGGTGGTGCCGCGCGCCGGCTTTGCGTTTCCCGGATCCAAAGACCAGGGGGGAAACGTCCATGCAGACCTCGGTGTCGGCCGGCCGGACACCAAACTCGACGAGCTTTTGTTCGAGGCAATCGTCGGGCATCCGATAGTTTGCGGTGTCGCCCGTCAAGCTTTCCACATCTGCGCTTGCGCCGCCCCCGGGGCCACCGGCCAAGACGCACACCGAATACGTCACGACGCGATCGCTCGCTCCGTCGGTAGGGACGTGTTCCAGGCAAAAGGTCGCGGTCCCCCCGACGACGTCGTCCCCGTCGACGGCGTCGTTCCGGAACTGGACCAGGGAGTAGGCCGAGGGAAGCTCCGGGTTTCCGGGGGACCCGTTCTGGACCAGCATCGTCGCCTCGTCGCCGTTGGAGCTGCTGGAGAGCGTTCCGTCCCGGTACACCGTGGTGTCCGCGTAGGACGCGAGGACCACCTCGACGTCGACCAGGACGGCGTTGTCGGCGTCCCCATCGATCGGTGGCAGCGAGACCGGCATGCGGGCGGGAGCATCGGTGGGGGGGGCGAGCAGTATGGATCCAACGTCTTCGAGGCCTTCGCTGTTGTTGCCGTCTTTGTTGTCGGTTTCCTTCCCGGAGTTGCTTTTGCTTCTGCTTCGCACCGCCAGCCCGGCGCCCAGGCCGATCGCAAGGACGACCAGGACCAAACAGGCCACGGCGAGAACAATGGCCAGGGTCTTTTTTTGGGGGTTTCCGGAAAATTCACCCGCAAGCCGTTCGCGGAAGGGGACCTTCCTCGCTTGCTCGACGTCGGTTTCGTTGCTAAAAACTTCGTCGCTCTTGCTTGGGTCGTAGCCGACAACGCCCTCGAAGGGAGGTGGAGCCTCCGAAGAGTCGGATTCGTTGCCGTATTCGTCGACGTAATTATCCGATTCGGAGTCATCTTCCGAGGAGGTCTCGCCGTCGCTACCGTCGTCGTCGTCATCTTCGTCGTCGTCGTCCTGACGGTAATCGCTTGTTGTGTTGGCGTCTCGAAAGGAGGAATTACTGCAGGACTCGCCGCCAAACAGGGCGTTTTGTTGCGATACAGAGTCGCTGTCGATGTTACTGCTGCTGCTGCTGGAGGAACCCCCAGATTCGGACGGCGATTGCTCGTCTTCGTAAGATTGACGGGACGAACCCACCGTCTCTCCGTAGCTGGCAGTGCCGATGTCGTAATTGTCGGTACCGTAATCGTCGCTATCTGCCATAGTGTGCTGCAGTAGTTCCGTGCGCTCGTGCGTGTGTATACGGATTTTGTACAGTCAGAGTGTGTGTTCTTGTGTGATTCGCAGAAGATAGCGCAAACAGAACCTTTGCGTTGTTCCTGCTGCCGCCGCTATTGTTTTTTCCCTCCTTTCGAGGTTTTTACTGTCCTTCCACTATGTAGCGATGGAATGCAGTGTTATGAGAGGAGTTTGTTTGGGTGCTGTAGAGTTGTAATTTGAATCGAATTGAATTGAATCGTCGAATTGAATCGTCGAATCGAGTCGAGTCCAGTCGAATAAGATCATGTGACGACGAGACGCGCAGTTTTTCTCGCTCTCGCTCTCGCTCTCGTTCTCTTCTCAATTTTTGTTTCGTGATTTCTTACTACCGCACGGGTATGGTACTCGTACTCGTACCTACTACGATCCTAGTTGGGTGCAGTATTGATTGTTGCGGTTGTACAGAGAAGGAAAAGGTCCCCTGCGTTTGGTGTGTTGGGAGTCTTCGCAGTTTTCACGGAACCCAACAAGAATGGGTCCTCGATCAATCGCATCTACCACCACCCCCGTCGTCGCCATAGGTACGTCCCTCGAACGAACTCTCAGAGTTTGTCGGGCTTGAGCTCGAGCTTGTTTTTAGAAAATCCCAAGTTCGTCGAAGCTCGACGTTTCGAAACGGCGAACGGTAATTCTGGACATCGGACGGCCAAAACTAGGCACTTCGGGCCTCTCGTTGATAAAATATTTTCGAAATACCGAACCGAACCGTAAATTTGGTAAGATTGGATGGAATCTGGATCAGTTGCAGTTCGTACCAGTACCACGGACGTACGAGTCGTACGCTAGAATTCCGAACCTCTAATGTATCTAGCGCGCGTCGACCTTCGCGGTAAAGGGACTAGTTTGCTTCCCCGTCCGAAGACACGGTCTCACTAAAGAGGCTGAATATCCACTACGGAAGCGCGAATTCGACGCATCAAGTATTCCTACCGTACTGCAGGGTAGTAGGATGATTATGACTAGCTACTAGTAGTACTACTAGCTAGTATTGCTTTCTGGAGGATTGAGGAACACCTTCACCACAAGAAGAATCTGATATAATTACTAGTACAAATAGTAGTAGAAGCAGTACTAGTTGTAGCCATACTATTTTGACTTGTTGTTTCTCCATCTTTGTTAGTACGTCACACAAACCTGTACTACGTCACACAAACCTGTACTATGGTTTTTTTTTTTCCTGGGTACATGAAATAAAATTCGCGCGCGTATTTTGTGATGCTCGCACGCAATTATCTGGCCGTTTTCCTTGGAACATGTTATCKTACCACTCATTTCTCATGTGGAGTTCGATGCCCTTTCTCATGCTCAAAATTAATTCTTTTTCATAGAAAATATTATCGTATACGGAGACGAATTGCTCAACCATTTCAAAAGTATCTCAACCATTCAAAAAATAC